ACGGAATGTGACTTTCACGCTCAAACGAATATTTAAAGTATAGATTTTTTATTTCAATTTAAGTGCAATGCTTGTTAGAGTAATGAGATTAATTCAACGAATTTCAAAAAATAGCGATTAACTAAAAAATAATTATGATTTAAAAAGCAGAAGCGCTATGCGAAATTTTTAAACTAAAGTCAGCAAAAACCATAGTTCGAGGAACGCATGATTGCAAAGTGTTAAGTTTTCTCCCGAATACGCAAATCAGAAAGAAGCGATACTTTTTCTTTACGTGGTTTTCTTTTCTACAAAACATGTTTTTTTCGTTGGCTTCTCCTTAGTATTTGTGTGAAGAGCACGTTGAGAAGGAAACATTTTTTTTTTTTTTTTTGGTAGAAAAGAAAACGCCATTGTGAAAAAACGCCTTTTTCAAAAGAACAACACTTCATCCGCATAAATATTTCAACGTTCAACGTACATATCCTCTTTTTCCATTCTGAAAGTGCATGAAATAAAAATTTCTTTAGAATTAGTAAAAAAAATAGATCCACACGAAATAAAAAGGCCTTCAAAAGGCAAATAATAAAAAAAAGCCTTTACTAACCTACATTAAAATCTAGTATACAGTTAAGAAATAGCTTTTTTCGCTCTTCTTCTTTTAGTCTGAGTGTGTGTTGTCCAATAGCAACAGTCCCGCTTTAGTTACTTTCGACTTCACCATTTTTAATCGCACGTTGCTCCTTCAATAATATCTCATGTATATAGACATCTTCATCTGTAGTCACATCAATCAATTCCAGCTCGAGTATTGGTGTGTCAGGTGAACCTAGCTTATCATATGTAATACGTTTTATAGACGCTACAAATTTTTGACCGACTGTTAACTGACGGAAGCGTAGACAATCTTCCAGACTCCAGTCGCCATGCGTGGCGGTGATGCCTATGATTTAAAAAAAAATATGTAATTGAGTACATTTTGCGGTGATTTCAAAAATGTTCCAAATCTACTTACCATGCAATTTAGCTTGAATCGACATTTTTCGCAATTGACGATATTTGGCTGGCAATATTTTCAATTGATCGCTACGTAAAATAGCTATATCACCGAAATCACAGAAACAAACGTGTATCATATCACCATTGTAGGTGTTCACCACAACAACGCTGTCGATATAAAATATAAGAATAGGATTATTTTAGGTAAAAATTTAGATTTATAAGTTGTATAATGTTGCGGAAAAGCACAATTGAAGACCATTCTGAAAGAAGCTTTTCAAAAATTTTCAAATCCAGAAACACAGTTCCAATATTAACCAAAATAAAAACTACCAAAATCATTAAAACATTAAATGAAAAGTGCTAGTAATATGTTTAGTAGAACTCACCGATGATAGAAACCATCCGGATTCTTGGCCGCATAAGCCT